GGTAGTGGTAGTGGTAGTGGTAGTTTTAGTTGTAGCAAAGGTGGCGCAGCGGTGAGAGCACTCGCCTCCCAACAATGTAGCCCGGGTTCTAATCTTTGCGTCGACGCCATATGTGGGTTGAATTCGTGGTTTGTTCTCCCCCTTGCTGAGAGAGGTTTTTCCCCAAGTACTCCGGTTTTCCCCTCTCCTTAAAAACCAACACTTCTAAATTCCAATTCGATCTGGAACGCACGGACAGGTTTCAACGAGTTCTTAAGAACTCCAAAGTGCTCCGTGGGTGAACAAATTACAAAATTACAAAATTATTTAGTGGTAGTGGTAGTTGTAGTAGGTAGTGGTAGTGGTGGTTGTAGTTTTAGCAGTACTAGTAATAGGTGGAATAGTAGTTGTAAAATCTGGCAGTCTATGTTATCGTGATGATAGCTGCCTCTATAAATTCAGTACTTTCTCCCTCTTCCCAGAATTCCGTGTGGTTGTGCCTTGGTGTCATAGCAATGTTCTCTGTAATAACTATCATCCTTTGCGTGCGTCTTGCTAAGCACTTACGTCGCGCTAAGACTGGCAGTGAAGATGTTTTCTCTGATGAGGGTACATCAAACTACGGTGTCCCCCTAAGGCTATTTGACAAGTTCCCAAAGGTTGACAAAAAGAAGTTTACAGTACCATGGTAAGTATTGTTAAGAAAGCTGATTACGCAAATCGGGTGATGCAATCCTAGTTGTAAATGTCGTGTATAGATCGACAACACGAGACAAGACAAAACAAGACAACACTTTATTTAAAGTGGAACATACACTTAGCTATATGAATTAGTTTAAAAGAAACTGCACCAGTTAATTTACAGATATGCCGCTAAACAAATAAAATAAATAGCATAAGAGCTAAAACTGAAGTAAGAAAATATAAAAGTTATTTACAACTAAAAATTAAGTTATCATGAAAAAAAAAAGCAATTCCCAAAAATTCTTTTTGAGAACGATGTCTTGTGCTTCATTTACTTAAACAGTTTTAAACACATTGTCTTGCGAATTTCAAATTGGCTGCGTCACTTTGAACCACGTTTTAATTTTGACAAACAGAGGGAGAAATATGGAATATACCTAGTCTGAACAAACACCCGAAAAGTGAAAACGTACGTCAATCTCAATTAATCTAAATATAACTCTAAAGCTGCAAAGTAAGACAGAAAATCTTGATAGTCGAATCATTAATGATCAAGACAAATGTCCACTTAAGATTTTCCTTTTTACTTTTGTGTAAAATTAAAGCTTAAACAAAAGTAGAAGTGTTCTAAACTTTCCTTAAATCGACCAGGAAACGATCCCGTCCGTCCCCTCGTTCGTCTTCGTCCCAGTCCTCCTCGTCCTCCTCGCCGTCCCCAGAAGGTTCAGAAACTAAGACCTGGACTACAAGTAAATACTAACGGTAAGATTAAGGCTGCTTGTTACCTGAACCCCTTTCAAAATCAAATTTAAGTTTCAATCAGTCAATCAATCAATCAATCTTTTATTTATCCATGTGATCTCCAGTAAGTTCAAAAGCTCGTTCAAAATACGTACGTGCTAACATAAAATTATCTTAATAAAATTTATCTAAATATACAACAACTAGATTTATCAAAAAAAAAAAAAACTAAAATGTACAGCTGCAAAAGTCACCATTTAAGAGAATTAAGATGACTTAAAATTGCTACAAATACGTTTGAATATATAAAATACGATACTAATATAGAGCTTTTTCACTCACGTGGCCAGCATGTATGCTAATTTATTGGAACACAAGAGAGCATTTACATGAGAAAAGAGTGTAACTCCCAGAGGATTTTCTGGGTACACCAACATGGCCGCAGTTTCATTGTTTTGGAACACCAATATGGCCGCCGTGACGTCATGTGAAAACGCTCTATACAAGATTGAAAATGGAATTAAAATTATTTATTTTTAATCGCGACTTCGCGAACTTGGATAGATGCATCGCACTTAATTTAGGCTATCTAAAGTACCTTACTTTTTTTCCTTAATGTATAATGAATGGAAAGAACACGACAAATCCTAGGCGTAATGCCCTCCTGTTCGGATCACGAGTGAATGGTATTAGAAGGCGGGCTGACTGAGTCTATTATTCCCCCTTCCCTTCTCCACCCTTCGCACTTTGGAAAACGGCAAGACTCTTTAATTGAAAAAAAAAAAAAAAAATAGGAAAATAGAACTGTAAACTTTAATTTGTTCACTTTAAAAATAACTAATAGAAATTTATCGATAACTGATTATTATCCCCCTATATGTACAAACACTCATAAGGGCCGGGTTGAACACGTGTAACTTTCCCGTGTCTAAACCAAGCAAATATTAACGGGAACATAAATGCTTCTTTGTCAATAACCTTGGCTAATTTTGTGAATAAAATTGTCACGTCATAGAAACTCATAAGGTGCCTACCATTTGACTTTGGGGTCGGGTATGGGTGGACGATTCAAACTCATTCCGACGAACTTAGCTGAGCCAGACGTCGACGGCCTTTTCATGAACTGAAATCAATAAGTTTGGTTCGTCTCATGAAAAGCTCGACGCTTGGCCCAGGTCTACGTTGAAGTTACTAAACGAAAGACGATTGATGTTCGTCAAAATTACACAAGTAGCCTTAAAATTTCATATTATAGACGTTCTCGACGGTTTGTTTTTAGCCAATATACTTCCTACCAACTTAGCAGCATATTGAAAGATTTATTCCTAGGCACTTGATCAGCTTGATCTTGGTAAAATAAAATGAACACATATTTACAGATTGGGGCATAGTATCGAATTGAAACAGCTTTGTTTCTTTCTTTTCCTTAAAAGACAATTGTTTAACACTAGTTTCCAAGGTGATTGAACTGAACAGAACTTTTATTTGATTTTGTTCTAACTACAGGCTTATTGAGCTCGAAAAGGGAGTAATGATCACAAAGCAACGGCCCCAAGTTATCCAGCGAATACCCTTAGCCGTGACAAATAATGTTGTGGTACCGATCGTCTACGATATTTGACCATGAACTACTCAAACATAAAACATGAGGATGAAGAGGAACACAATGTACGGTTAACAGACAGTTAGAATTGGTTTATACTGTCCGGTGTTTTTCAAACTGGATGCTAACAACGTTCTTGGTCAAAAGAGGAACATGACCTCGAAAGACTTGAGTCACGTTTCCGTTGCCCGCTTGGGTGGTTTTGGTCAGTGGAATCCTAACGAAATGATGGTGACAGATGGGACATAAATTAGAGCGCAGACTCGTGCGTGTAATGGTGCGCATGCCCAGGTGCATTCGCACACAACCCTTTTATTCGGGTAGTTGTTGAAACATTTCTATGGTTTTATCTATTGAGTGTTTGAACCAATCAATCCTATACATTCCTTTATATCATCATCATAAGTCGCTATTTTACAAAAGAAATGTTTTCATGAGGTCCCTTTCACTAAAGGGAGAGAAAAAGTTTAGAAGAGAAAACTGTTAACCACAGAGGACTATGAAATTAATACTTTTCTGTGGTCAACAATTTTCTCTTCAAAACCCTTTAAATTATTTTTTATTCACGTTTTTTCGTGACCAATAAGTGTCTTTTGCTGCTAGACAGATCTAACCAAGGAAATTAACTATTAAATATTTATTATCATATATTTATATATTTAGGTATTTTAAAAATCATAGCCTTAAAATAGTCATCTCAGTAAAATGGAATGAGTCATTCATTCAATCTTTGCAAGGACAGTTTAAAACATACCCGATTGTTTTTTATTAAACTGATGACATTATCTATTAAAATTTTATATTTTTTTTATTGGTTAAGCTTATTTTGTTAAGACAAAATTCTACAGGCCCGTTGTAATATGACAGTAGGACATAGCAACGAATGTTTAGATGGAGGAGCTGCCGGAAAAAGTCTGAGCTTTCTTTTGCTTGTTGGTCTTACTGATAGTCTCTGCCGGAGTCAAGAAAGTAGTAAACGAGTTTTAACAAGATTACAATACTTTTCAGTTTGGTATAACATGTTTCGATGTTTCTGATCTCACATCCTCGTCAGATGCAAAATAACTTAAAGCAAGAGCTATGAACAAAGAAAAATAAAAAAACCCCAAGCAAACAAAAAAACACAAAACAACAACCGGTGACAACAAAAATGAAGACCTATACGCGCCGTACATGTCATAGACACTGAGTTCGTTTTGGACAGGGAGCGCCGGTACCTGTTTCAACCAGACGGTTTGTGTTAATGGTGATAATCCTTTGTAACGGTTAACTAGTTGTGGGCGCTTAGGTCTTTGAAACCCTTGCCGCTATTAAAACGTTTACTTGTAAATTGTTTCCTAGATTTGGATGTCGGTCTAATTAAGTGACGACAGGTTAAACTGATCAGAGAAGTAACTCCTAGGAAAGAAACTGCTTAAACCCGCGAGAAAGGGAAAAACGATACAGTTGACGTAGATTAAAGAAAGCAGTAGCCTCTTACACACAACTTGTGGGAAATGTGGAAGGGCCCGCGATACTTATTCCGCTTTAGGAACACATGAATGCCTCTCCCCCTATCCCTCCCCTGTCCTCTCTCAATTCACTTTTTGTGATTCTTCCCCGATCCAAACTCCACCTCGGTCTCTACGATCCGACGAAGCAATAGCAACGAGAAGGTCCAAATAATAATAATAATAATAATAATAATAATAATAATAATAATAATAATAATAATAACGATGATGATAATAATAATAATAATAATAATAATAGTAATAATAATAATAAATAGGTTTAGAGGGCAAAACAACAACTTTGCACGTACATCACACTTTTTCGTACATTTCTTTGCCGTGTTTGCATGGAGGACGTAAACAAACATTTCTTTATCTGAACTTGAATAGGGATCTTAAGAATTTAACTTCAACCGGGGAGTTCTCCTACTTTTGATAAAGTAAATGGGTGTGAATAATCGTGATAAAGACTGGAATATTCACTTTTTAAGAGACGTTAACGTTTTCGGGTCTGCCATCGTCGTCGGATCGTCAGTAGCGACCAGTGCATTAAAATGAGCCGGTAGGCGAGAATCTGGCGTAAATCACGCGCAGCCGCCTCAATTTTTATCGTGAAAAGAATTTTATCACACTGCAAAGTCCCGAAAAAAATTATGCGCTGCTAAAGTTTTAATTGTCTGAGAGCATATACAAGGGGGTTTTGTTTTGCTTCACGTCTAATTCAATTAGTCTGACAGAGAAAGGAAGTGTTTCATTATTTAAAAAATAAACCAACTGAAGGAAATGTATACAGAGAATCAGTGTTGGGACTCCGAAACGGGTGAGTTACGTTAAGTCTCCGGACGGATGGACTAGAAAAATAGACAGCTGCTTGGTAAAGCATGAAAGTTTTTGCAAGGTATTTGAATCTTTTCAAACGTACTTTAAGGTTTCTTTCTGTTATGGCTTCTTTTTTCAACGAAATGTCAGAGGAGATTGCCTTACACTTTGTTACAACTATCAGGTATCGTACTATAGCTGTATCCTGTATCGTACTATAACTGGTCCTATGGATAACCAAATCCTTCAGGATGACTTAAATGCTCTATCCAGGTAGGAAAAGGACTGGCAAATGTCATTTAACATAGAAAAAAATGTCATATAATCTGCTTCTCTACAAAAAAAGAATGTT